CGCCCCACCATTGGAGGGGCGCCTGTCATTACAGGCGCCCCTCCAATGGTGGGGCGCCAAGTGGCCCGTCGGTAAAACATTTTGTAAAATATTTTGTAAGTGTAGCATGGTCCTTGTTGAATTAATAGATAACCAGATGTGGCTAGTGAAAAAAATATAATGTGGCATGAAAAATTCATTATTACATCATTTTCATCGTACAAATGAGCAAAATCATATCTTGAAACACACTTCGTCTAAGAAACAAAAATGTAATGTAATGTCCCTCCAAAGTACATAGCATTTAATCCGATAGGCTATTGGCAGTTGATAGTGTTGTTTAACTACTAACATCTCGATCCAAATGCAGGTATGCTTCGACAGGCAAGCTTACCACCAAATCAGATGTCTACAGTTACGGTGTAATTCTTTTAGAACTCTTGACAGGCCGCGTACCCATTGATGCCAATCGGCCTTCTGGAGAACACGTCCTAGTCTCATGGGTCAGTATAAGAGTTATTCACGTGTTACAAGTTTCCAAGAAGCTTACACTTCAATGTTGATTCCTAATCTGCTTACTTCATATTGCTATCATGCTATTTCTATTCTTGTTCATCTAATTAGACTGCATTGTGCAATGATTCTCAGGCTCTTCCGCGTTTAACAAACAGAGATAAAGTAGAGGAAATGGTGGATCCAGCTCTACAGGGACAATATTCGAACAAGGATCTAATTCAAGTAAGATTGTAAATAGATCAGAATCCCTCCAACCAAAGCCCCTGTTTGGTGGGAATTAAAATCAAATTCTTAGTAATTTTTGATAGAAGTTGATGAAACGTGTGGTTGAAAAGTTGTGAGACCCGTTTTCTTGTTTCAACAGGTGGCTGCTATTGCAGCTATGTGTGTACAAACTGAAGCTGATTATCGACCTCTAATGACAGACGTTGTCCAGTCCTTGATCCCTTTAGCAAAAAATCTCTCTTCGGCATGTTCCTCCTCCAATTCACTCAGATTTAATCAAACAGCAAGTCCAAGGTCTCAATGGGAGTTTGATTCTATTTTCTTTGATAGTGCATAGTGTATCTGTACCTTAGTCCAAGGTCTCAATGGGAGTTTGATTCTATTTTCTTTGATAGTGCATAGTGTATCTGTACCTTATTTACCATGGCCATTACTTTTAGGCAAAACATTTACTGTTTATAAGACATCAAAAACATTCAGAATTTATTTCATAGATCAGAAAGTAGAAACTAGAAAGGAAAAGCAGCAAAATGAAGCAGCACTTGAAGGCCAGAAGATTACCAAAATAAGTCTGAAATGTTTTCATTTTAGTACTGTTGAAACATAGAAATCTAATTGGGCAAATTATACTAAAGTATATCTGATATAAGTGAATAATGCTCTCTGTTTATTTACTGTAGACTCACATTATGGTAATAGACTCTGTTCAATTACCTCTGGAGCTTACTAAGATCAGAGAAAAGTGGAATTTTCTTAAGCTGGATAGTGGAAACGTCATCAAAACCGATTTGTTACAGATGGGCAAATATATGAAAGTAGACAAATCTTATGAACCCTTTAACAACAAGAAAAGGATACGGTTTAGGAAAAATAATAATGTTCAAGTGGAAGTATACAACGGTACAACACATAGTCACCCTCTTCTGGTCAACAGCATAATACCAAAACAGTGGGTTCCAAATCCTAGTTCTTTTAGACAAAACCAACCGTAGAGGATCTAATGTGGACCATACCATACCAGTTATCTAAACTGGAGGCTGGTCTGAGTTATCCAAAACTGGTGCCCTCCCAAACTTTGAGGTGGACCCTTCACTCTTTTCTATTTTAGTGAGATTGAATGTAGCCCGGTTCAGCACCTTATACCGGTAATCTCAAAGTGAACCGATGAAAACTTTTCTATAGTTGAACAAATGAATGTCCAGTGGCGTCCTACCTGAACTTACCAAAACTGAACATAGTAGGCTTTTGTATAGATGAGGGACAAAACGGCGGGTTTGGATATTCAAAAGTCTAGGCGTCTTCAGGTTGTGGTTGATTAAAACTGGAGCCGGCTACTTTGGGTAACAAATGCATCATTTCTCAAATGGCTGGTGCTTTCCACATTAGTCAACTCCGGTGCATCCTCGCTCTCCAAGTATTCCTTCTCAATCACGTGACCTTTCACTTCAGAATACAAGAAAGTTGGGAAAGTTTTTCTGTCTTAAGGGTCAAGCCCATCAGTGGTGGCAGCACGCCTGGACCACTTGTAGCGGTACCTTATGTAGATGGAGACTAAAACAATGAATAAGAGTATTGAACAAATTGAAAAGAAATTGAGCTGAAAGTTTCCTCAATTATGGAAAGAAAAATCTGAATTACATTGTATTACAACGTGCCTGTGGCTGTAAATAGAGAGATATCTAACTAACTAGCTATTCACACCAATACAATATGGACACGTGGATTAACTAATCTAACTAACTAATTAACCAAAACAGCTCCAGCTTCCAGTTGGCTCCAGTTGCTTCAGCTCCAGCTACGGTTTGTAACTCCAGCTTCTTCCAATTGTAGAATTACAGCTAGATAATCTGTTACGCCCCCCCAAGATGGACAATAAAGATTGATGACAACCATCTTCGATAATAAGGGAAATAGAAGTGAAGCGATAACGCTTTGGTGAAAACATCAGCGAGTTGATGTTGGGTTCAAATGGGTAAGAGCTTTATAAAGCCATCAGCAACTTTGTCTCTTACAAAATGACAATCAATCTCGATATATTTGGTTCGTTCATGAAAAATTGGATTAGAAGCATTGTGAATGGCCGCTTGATTATCACAGAAAATGAAGGCAGGAATGACTGGTGAAATCTGAAAATCAATAAGCAACTGGTTAATCCATATCAATTCACTAGCAGTAGACGCCAACACACGTTATTCTGCTTCAGCTGAGGATCTGGATAGAGTTGTTTGTTTCTTGGCTTTCCATGAAATCAATGAGTCTCACAGAAATACACAAAATCCCGTGACAGATTTATTTGAATCAAGGCAAGAACCCTAACCTGCATCTGAAAAAGCTCTCAACTGAAAGGAAGAATGTGCAGAAAACTAGATCCCTTGTCTTGGATTAGGCTTGATAAATTGCAAGAGGTGATATGCTACATCTAAATGTGGCTATCTCGGTTGAGAGACAAACTGACTCAGCTTGTGGACTGCAAATGTAATATCAGGTCTTGTAATGGTGAGGTATAACAATCGACCAACTACCATTTCGTACATTGAAGCATCGGGGAAGAGGCTTACCTCAAATGAATTGAGACAAATCTTTGGATCCATGGGTAAAACAGTAGGTTTACATGCTAGGAAACACGTGTCTTCAAGAAGCTGAAGAGTGTAATAGCGTTGGGATAAGACAATGCCTTTAGATGACCTAGCAATCTCCAAACCCAAGAAATACTTTAACAGGCCAAGGTTTTTAACCTGAATTGGCTATGCAGGAAGCTCTTTAGAGATTCAATTGCTTGATGCTTAGGTCATGTAATAATGATATCATCCACATAAGCCACAAAACATTTGCCCGACCCTTTGGTAAACAAAGAATAATTAGATTTAGACCCGTTAAATCCATGTTGAATAAGAGCACTTGAAAATTTTGAAAATCACTGCCTTGATGCTTGCTTCAAGCCATATATTGATTTATGAAGTTTGCATACCAAATGCTCTATGTGCTTACCAGTTTTGGCCTGCTTATTATATCCTATTGGAAGATCCATATAGATTTCTTCAAACAAATCGCCATTGAGAAATGCATTATTAACATCCGGCTATGTGATCTACCATTGATTTGATGTTCCAATAGCTAAAAGAACTCCTACAGTTACTAGTTTAGCAACTAGAGAAAAAGTCTTAATAAAATCCAGTCTTTCGTGCATAGTATACCCCTTTGCTACCAAATGAGCTTTGTACCTTTCTATACTGCCATCTGATTTATATTTGATTTCATAAACTCATTTGTAGCCTATAGAATGTTTATCCTTAGGCAGGCTGGTAATGGACCAAGTTTTATTCATCTCCATTGCTCTCAATTCAGTTGCCATAGCCTCTCTCCAATGATCAAATTTTACCGCTTGATGATACAACTGGGGCTCAAAATTGAGAAAACAGATAGGAGAAAGTTACTGTGTACATGAGAGAATCGATTATAGGATATGTATTTAGAAAGCGGATATGGTGATTTATCAGAAAATTGTTGAGAATTTTGCAAGAGAGATTACAATGAAAGTCTCTGAGATATGAAGGGGGATTACTAGTCCTAAAGGATCTTCTGATTCCAATAGGATCTATAAAGGGATTGTTAATTGATGGATGATGATCAATAGGAGAAGAATCAAATTCAGAATCTTGTGAATTGCTGGTAGCTTCATTTTGTACTTCAGAAGGTGATGCATTAGGTGAACCATTGGTAGAAAAATCGGAATCAGAATTTGAGAGGGTAGGTGGATTAAAAGTTGGAATATCAAAGGCATATTTTGGTAATACAATTTGTGGGAAAAGATCAACAGCATCTGATTCATGAGTTATAGAGTGAAATGGGAAAAAAACAACATCCCTAGAGATTAGGAAAGATTTTGAAGCAATGTCATATAGTTTAAAGCATGAATCAGTAAGGAATTTTATCTCCACATGTAAATTCCTAGTTAAAGAGCTCACTGACATCTGATTGAATTTGAGCTGTGGGACATATAGTATATCCTCTAACATCGAATTAAAAGCAACTTTCACTGTACCCGTGAACTCAATTGAAATCCTTTCACGATTTGGCAGAGTAATAAAAGTGTTCTGTACCGGTTTGATGATAGTGAAAGCAAAATAATGAGAACAAATATGGCAGCTAGCTCCAGAATCCACCACCCAATTCTTAGGAGAATTAAGCAATGTGCTATTAGAAGTGGAGAAACAAGTACCTAATACTTGATTCAAGTGTAAATTATCAACATCGGTATCCATCTTTGTCGATGCTAAGTGACTGTTTAACATGTTCATCAATTGCTTATATTGATCCTGATTCAGTGTCTGCGTGAAATCTTCTACACTGCTCTGTGGTTGCCCTGAATTGGATTTAGAAACTTGATTAGCAACAACATAATTTTGTGTTCTGCTTGCACCAAATTGATTACCAGAGGTAGGCTTCTGTCTGATTTTATATCCAGGGGATAACCATGTAGTTTGTAGCATTTATCCACAAAATGGTCAGAAAATTCACAGTATGTACACATAGGACGTTCTTTCCTCTAAACCTTGTTGTGTAATTGCCCATTATTACCCTTCTTAATGTCACTTCTGGCATAAAATGCCATAGATTCAGATCCAATGGTTGCATTTGAAGTTGCACTAATATTCCTTTGGTGCTCTTCTTGCGAAACAAGAGAAAACACTTTGTTAATGGGGGGTATGGGATCCATGAGTAATAGTTGTCCCCTCACCTGAGCAAATGAGTCATTTAAACCCATTAAAAACGATATCACGTTTGATAATGATCAGCAAGTTTCTTAGATCCTCCATAGTTACACCTTCCACATGAACATATTGGCCTGTAATTGCTAAGTTCTTCCCAGATTGTCTTCAATTTTGTAAAGTATGAACTCACAGAAGATTGTTCTTGTGTGTGGTTCATCAATTCATGCCTTAACTGAAAGATGCATGGTCCATTGCGCTGATGATATCTCTCTTTCAGATCAAGCCATATGTCATGAGTAGATTCTGAATAGATAACACTAGCAGAAATCTCTTTAGAAACCGAATTAAGTATCCACGAAATGACAATGTTGTTGTTGCAGATCCAATGATTGACTAGATCCTCATTATCTTGAGGTCAAGGGACGGAACCATTTATAAAACCAATCTTGTTTCTCATAGACAAAGCAATCACCATTACTCTATTCCATGAGGCATAGTTGTCATCGGTTAGAGGCTGTGAAACAAGTACAAGACCTGGATTGTCTGAATGATGAATGAAGTATGGACTAGATCCATCATCAATGACGGAATTGCTCATTGGTATATCTGCTGCAAGCACCACGAT